TCAAGAATTGTGGTATCCTATTTTTCTGAATCAGGTTGGTACAGGGTTTCGGGCTGCCGATCCATCCTGTGTGTTGTTTGTCTTTCTCTTTCTATATCTTTGTCGCTATAACTGTCTCTCTGTATTTGTCCTTCTGCAGGGGTCGCAGTGCGGTGCGCCGAGGACCTATTCGCATAAATCTACAAGCACAGCTCCAAACCAGTCTCCCTACAGCTTCCGATGATAGCAACGTATGCATTCCGTCCGCTCACCTCTTCAAACTAAATGAAAGGTACTCCAGCATCAATCTATTAATGGATTCTTCGAAACCCAGTTTTTCCACATATCTACGAGAGATGAGCCAATTGTCAATCGAAACAATGGAGGATATCTCATGGACTGCGTCAATCTGGACGCCGTAATAAAGACAAGCGGCTGCAGGACAACGAGGATCAGAAGTTGCCTTTGGATGGGATAAATCGACGGATCTCTTCGTCTGGCCCTTTCAGACACGATGAAAGTCTCCACAACAAGAAACGGTGGCTGATTGCAATTATGCCCACTGTTTAGGCACATTAGCTGTTTGGCTACTTTGTACTATGTGAAGAAAGTTAGGTTTTGAGTAATCTCTTGTTTCATAAATGTTGAATTTACTTCCATTTCGAGTGAAAGCGTTTGTTAAAGAGATTAGAAAGTCGATCCCACCAGAAAACGACAGCGGATTCCTTTTGATCTGTTGTCAATCGGCTTTACTTGAACATTCTTGCCAGCAGTGTTTCCAAGGCAATCGCCTTCGATTCCAGTGAAAACGTGCTAAGCTTTTGTCTATCGTATGACAAACATTATCAGAGCAGGGTAGCATCCTTATAACCATTTTCAAACTAAAGAGTCAAGATAATTTATCGGCTCATCACAAACACATAAGCACGCACAGACAGACACATTCACATACTTCAAACTGTAAGTTTGCTTTAATTTCAACTGAAAGTAGATTCAATCAAAACACAACGGCGGCTTCCTCTTGACCAGCTGTCGATACGGTTTACTGGGGCATTCTTGTTGACCTTTATAGAAAGTTGCAAAGATTTCATTCATAGAAGGCATATTTCGAGACTATCA